AGAGTGCCAGTGGAAAGGTCCTGAGGTAAAGAATGACTTGTGGTATCCAGTAGGTCATCTTCTGGAAGAGAGTCCAAGAGCTCACTTTGTTGATGTAGCAAGACGCTATCGCTGGCTCTGGAATCCGGTCGCTCCCGTGCACCCACCGAAAGACTTTCAAGCTTGTTCGTCACTTGTTTCAGGGCTGACTTTATGACTTCCGACGTGGCCTGTCCTTCCACAGTGTTGACACGCGAGAACACGATCGGCGTAATACCTTCATTGCGAAGATCCTCCAATCCGCTCGCAGTGCGTGTCTGGTTTTCATTCCGGGATGCACCATGACTGCTTTTATTGAAATCGTGTCCGTCCTTGTCAGGCGCTTTCTTAATCTCCAGAGTTCCATTTGAAGACGGTGTAGGGCTTCCGATTGGTTCTTGGTTATCACGCTGCACTGTCGCTGCTCCTTCTGACTGCTCAGAATCCTGGTCCAGAGAATCTTCGCTATTCGCTCCGGACGTCTCGATCGAAAGCTTGCTGGGCTCTCTGGTGTGTTTGCGCGCGGAGCTGTTATTTGTAAAATCCCACATATCATCGGCTGGTTTCATCTTTGCAAAGGCATCCTTCTGTTTCGTATCTGAGCCTGGTGTTGGAGGCTTGAAAACGCTTTCCAGTCCTATCGGCGCAAACAAATCTCGCTGCTCGCCAGAAGGCAGTTCTCCATGAACAAGTCGTTTCCGCCATTCCGGTGTCGTGTCCTTCGCCTTCGGTTTCTTTGGTCTCACTTGAACGGTATCCTGCAGGCCCGACTGGTTGGAGACATTAGAGACAGACCGCAACGGTGATCTAGCCTCCATGACCGGCTGTTGTTTACGCCCGGAAGGCAGACTGGGCCTGGGGCTTTTCCTTGTTTTGTCCGGTACCGGTGATCTCAACTTCGACGGAGTCTTCGGCGTTCTGGGAGTTTTAGGCGTCGGGGGCTCCCTCTTGTAAAAATGGCAGGGTCGAGTCACTTTCTTCTTTCCATCGGCGGGCGACTGTTGTTCGGCCAAGCGACGCGCGGGGATCGGAATGCGACTTGGAGTGTTCTGAATACTGGAACGGCGGGAGTGGTTGAGAGATCGAGAAGGAACGGGGCTGGTTTCACTGCCTGGCGTCGAGACCCAGTCGTCCGAGAGATTGTCCAGCCATGGTGTGTTGCCCATTTTCTATGATGGTCTGCGCTGAGCGAGCCGGGCGCGTTTCGCAATCACAGAGCTGCAGTGAATTGCACAACCAGTGGTAAGCAATACAAACAAAACATTAGATGGATCCACAACAATATCAACCAATTACCACCGCGGAAGTCGGAAGAAGGGGCATATTCAAATGAATATTAAGTATGAAAATTGCTCTTGAGCAATCAAAAAGTGTAGCAGTAAAGCTGTATGTTTGATTATCAGTCCGGAGGATAATGTTATGAAAGTGGAGCTGGAACACGGTTGAGATCGATAAGTTTAAGGGTGGTCGGGGCAACCCCAGCAGGTTTTTTGACCTTTAATATTACTGCAAAGGCTCTCCTCACAGATCATGAAACGCATTGGTCGAGAAGCAAATTACAAATATCCCATTTCAGTGTAGTGAGGTGGTTGGAACATCTTGATCCTTCAGCATATGCTTGTTGCTCCCAAGAAAGACTTCCATGCTGAACTTCTTCTACCATGTATACATAGGCAATAACAATTGAGTCTGCCCATCCCCGCTTCTCGCTACGTGCTTGTCAGGCAATCGTCGGATCCATTAAGGAACTCTTTCGGAAAAATAATAAGTCTCCAAGATCTGTCTACGGACAATACGTACACACTGGCTTGAAACGACCCCAGAAGCGAGGGGTCTAGCGACTGTAGTGGATACAATATGGGGAGGGACTAGAGAGGTACTTCTACTAGTTGTAGCAGAAGCAAGGCATTATCTGTAGGCAGTAAGGAAATGGGCAGCTCCTGAGGCCTTCGTCAAAGATTGGTATATGGTGCCAGCGCAAGTCCATTGAGGCAGGATGGCCCTGCTGTATATTGATACTTTACCAGGTAGCATCGGATTTTCCTAATACGACAATGTGCTACCTCTGGTATTCTTGTGATATCCTCTCTACAGAGGTACCTCTCGAATTGTCACTGTTTTGACTACGGAGATTGGTAGCATTACATAAGCCGCCACGTCTGGTTGCTGTGGCATTATTTACACGCGTTAAGTACTTTCCTCGCATGTGACCTTAATGAACTTATCCAGGACAATTCACAGCTGTCAGCCATGAGGCACCACCATACCCTGCTCCAGAAGATATGAGAAGATATACGCAGACGTGCTTCCCTATTCAGTTGCTCAGATGCAGGACCGAACTGCAGCAGCACTTCAAGCGATTAGCTCCGTTGATGACCTCCGCATCTCAACCAGATGCCACCTCGTCCACCCACCTCCCCGCTTTCTCTGGAAATATGCTCGCCTTCCGCTTCCGACATGGATATCGATGGAGTACTCGGCTCCGATGAAGAGCCAGACGAAGCTGAGTGGTCTGCTCGGCGACAAAGGATTGAGAGGCTCGCAGAGTCGTACTTGAATGGCACTCCGCTTTTCATACTCTCTGCTTCGCTCCGGGGGCCGTTCGACAGGGACTGGGTGAACCCTTGGAAGAAGTCAAGAAGGAGAGTGCCTAGCGTTGGACATCGAGACAGTCGGCCGACGAGGGATACAACCGCAGCGGAAGAGATTGTGATACAGGAGACCAACTCTCGGAAGAGGAGAAGGTACCATGAATTGCAAGATATCCGTGGGTCAGATTCTCCTGTCGGTCTCTCGCACTTGCATGTTCCATCCTCTCTTCGCAATGAGGATCTTCGTACTAAATCGAAAAGCCCATTGTCGTCGAGAGCACCGAGTGAGAAACGATCCGGGGTCTCGATGGCCTCTGAGCCATCACCGAAGAGGCCAATACCTTGGGCAGGACTATCCGGTCTACAAGGGCAAGATCAAGAACCGAGCCCGTTTGTTAGCAATGATGCTCCTTGGTTGAGGAAGGATCGGGTCTGGATCAATTCCCGGAGTGTTGATCCTCCCACATCCCCTACAGCCACTGTCTCCAGTCGCCAATCCGATATGAGAGCGCGTGCGAATATAATTCGCTCATCCAAACGGAGGTTTCTGGCCAACACAGTTCCGTCTCAACGTCGTTCCAGCATGGATTCGTCCAATAGCGTGGAATCTCCGGTCCGTATGGTCTCCCGCCAGGGATCCATTGCTGGCAAAGATGGATCGAAGAAGAATGAGACGGAGTCGATGCATAATCAATCAGTAAACAGTCCCGACAAACATGGCACTGTTCCTCACGAAAATATGAGCAGCTCACTTCAGATCGTTTCCTCGTCATCACAACTACCTAAGTTTGAATACCGTCGGCGGAAGGTGCGTGCTGCGTCTGGAGAGGAACATGCCAGTTCCCCAATGGTCCTGGACAAGAGAAAGCCACCAGTAGTAGCTGAGGTGGAGAATGCGCCCAATATCACGGCCGATCGTCCGCCTCAAGCGCCTGCACTGCGAAACGTGTCATTCGCAGACGCAGCGGACCTCTGCCAATCGGAAACCTCGCAGGCATCACGTACTCTGACAAAAGATGATGCCACGATCTCCAATCCTCCAGATATGGAAACAGCCCTGAATCCTAAGGCAGCCAGGTCGATGCAGGGCAATACTAGCGAAAGGTTACATTCTGCCCAACGAGTACCTGGAAACTCAGCCATGATGGATTGCGTTACGTCCCTGCATACCATCGCTGTGTCGAAAGAAGACACAGAGTATGATGGTGATACTATCCCGGAGGCCCAATTTTCCACGCAGGCAGCTGTTTTGCTCGCTCAGAGATCTTTCCAGAAGGACTTGGAGAGCCCCGAACCCGACGAGCTTCCCTCGCACCGAACGCCTAGCCTCAATACTTCTCCTGCAAACGAAATCACACCGTTCTACCAAGTGAATACTCCCGGCAAGGTGGAGATCGCAAATAAGTCATCTGGACCTCCAGCTACCGGATTGCCGGTGATGAGCACGCAATGCATCATCGATGCAGTCACTCCTTTCACTTTTAGTACAGAGAAGAAGAGTAACTACCGTGTTATTTCATCGGCAAAGAGTCGTTCAGGGAGAAGGAAATCAGAGGAAGTTAATCTTGCTACTGGCATTGCGCCATCCACGCACTCATCCCCATCACCGAGCGTAATGGATCACTCAGAGCTCAGGAATCCAGATGCCGAGAGGGACATCGACGATGACTCCAGGCCCCAGATGTCTATCCTGCGTGATTTCCAACCTCAGAGCCAAAATAGTGTCTTGCCAATGACGCTGACAGGAACGACACCGCCCACCGCCCAGCACGGACAAGGCGTACTCGCAGGTGCAGATAGCTTTAGCCTCAGTCAAGCCATTGCAGATGCAGGAAGCTGGTTGCAACAGAGCTTTGAGATCAACCGAGATCTTCAACAGTGTAGTAGCGCGCGACCTCCTTTGCCTGGAGAGCGTCGTGCTCTACTTTGAGCGCCAATGCAAGCAATTGATGAGCATGCCCGACTATTGTCAACTACCAGAGCTTGGTGTGGTTCCTTGCGGATATATGGCGGCCGTACATATAGATATATTTTGCCATATTGAGCGACATTCATGATTTGTACATTGCCTTTAGCTGACAAGCTTTTAAACATTAAATAAGGCCAATTAATGTAAATACATCTATCGATAACGATGCTAAATGCAACAATATCGAGCAGGGTAATAACATGTATTCAATCATTCGTATCAGAGCAAGTGAGTTGCATTGTCAACAACTGTGACTGGGGAAAGATGACGTGGGTCGAGCTGCGGTCTGCGGGATAAGGTACTAGCGCGGCACAGCTCCGCGATTGCTTGCGGGCCGGGAATCGAGATACAGGATGATCAACCGTCCTCCACTCCCTTTGCTTACCGCATCCTGTTGATGGCGCGGACTTGACTTCATTGAAATGGCTCTGACATCAGTATGCTCATCTGATTACGGAAATGAAGCTCTCACAAAGATACTGACTCGCTATTCGCAGTGGAAAGCGTTCAACTTCTTTGACGTCTCCTCGGTCAAACTTCCAGAAGACTGCTCGTCAATATTAAAGGTACACGATTGGCTCTTTCTAAATCACCGCTCTGTTCGCAGTTGAATTCTAACAATATCCCACCCTGCTTAGTCCGGTCTCACCTCTCTCAGCGCCGGCTCCTCTAATCTCTTCGTCGCATCTACCGATGGCGTGGTACACACCGTCTCCGCCGGATTCAAGATCGTGCGATCTTTCAAGGCAGCGGACAATGGCTCCATTACGCATATGAAACAGATAGAAGGCACGTCACTGCTTATAACCATTGCGGAAGACCTGCCCAACGAGCCCGTGCTGAAAGTGTGGGCGCTCGACAAACCTGAGAAGAAAACCGGAGTTCCGCGTTGCTTGTCTACAACGTCGATACAGAATGCGCGGAGGCCCTTTCCTGTTTGTCTTCCCTAGATTGACGTACGACTTAGATAACTGATCATTGGACGAGGTATAGATATCTTCCTTCGCGGCTCTGGAAGATTTGTCACAGGTAGCGGTGGGATTTGGCAACGGATCGGTCACAATAATTCGCGGCGACTTGATCCATGACCGTGGCGCCCGACAACGCATTGTCTTCGAGTCGGAGGAGCCGATTACTGGGCTCGAGGTACAAAGCGGGGCGTTATCGACACTCTTTATCTCGACAACGAGTCGAATATTGACCTTGGTCATCTCCGGCAGAGGACAAGGTCAACCGGCGCGTGTATTGGATGACTCTGGCTGCAGTGTTGGCTGCATGGCGCTTGACAAAGACACCGGAGATATTGTTGTTGCTAGAGAGGACGCTATATACACCTATGGGCCGCATGGACGTGGCCCGAGCTATGCATTTGACAGCCCGAAGAACTCGATCAACGTTTTCAGAGACTATGTGGCCTTGGTGTGTCCTCCAAGGACTAGCTTGGGAAATCTTCGCAGCCAGGCCGACGAGATTTTCAGCACAGCGACTTTCACCCTGCTTGATACGGATCTCAAGTTTATAGCTCATTCGGAATCTCTGGCAGGGTCTGTTAAGCATGTTTTCATAGAATGGGGCGACTTGTTTCTCCTTTCGACAGATGGAAAGGTACAATCCAATGATGAGAATGAGTATTGTTATAACTAATACGCGGGCAGATATACCGTTACCGTGAAAAGAGCCTCCAGCAGAAGCTGGAGATACTCTACCAACGCAATCTTTACATTCTGGCCATCAATCTCGCGCAGAAAAAAGGGATTGATGCTCTACAGCAGAATGCGATCTATCGCAAGTATGGCGACTTTCTCTACCAGAAAGGCGATTACGACACGGCCATGCAGCAATACCTACGGGCTATTGACAATACTGAACCGTCGCAGGTTATACGGAAGGTATTACCGCCTGCACTTGGTACTTGGTTAATACGCTTATATCTGACTGAATTGATTGCAGTACCTTGATACGCAGCGTATTCATAACCTGATTGAGTATCTTGAAGAACTTCACGATCATGACCGAGCTACCGTTGATCACACCACGCTTCTTCTAAACTGTTACGCCAAGCTCAAAGATACGGACAAGCTAAATTCCTTTATCAAAGCTCCAGGAGAGCTCAAGTTTGACCTGGAGACTGCCATCGCTATGTGCCGACAAGGAGGGTATTATGAGCAGGCAGCCTATTTGGCTACAAAATACGGTGAAAATGACATGGTCATTGATATCCTGATTGAGGATTCAAAGAAGTACGCTGAAGCTGTGGAATACATCTGGAGGCTTGAGCCGGACTTGGTTCGTAATGGCAGCCGTACCCTTGTGATTTTCCAGGGCTGACCCAAACAAGGCTTACCATAACCTGATGAAATATGCCCGGGTACTGCTGGCAAATTGCCCTCAAGAGACTACGGAACTCTTCATGGCGTACTATAAGGGGCAGTATAGGCCAAGAACAGAGGTGGAGGTCCCAGCCGCACCCCAGACACAGCCAACCAGTACTTTGCAAAGCTTGGCCGGTTTCCTTCCTTTGTCTCTGATTAACGCGGGTTCCGGAACGAAGGCTGAAAAGCCCAAGGTTATTCTTGATGAGGAGACAAAAATTGAAGAACCGACACCAAGCTATGAAATTCCGAGACCAAGGACAGCTTTCTCGGCTTTTGTGGGCCGTCCGCAAGAATTCATTGCTTTCCTGGAGTCGCTCATCGACCTGGAAACGCTGAAGGAGGAGGACAAAGTCGACATTTATACAACACTCTTTGAGATGTACCTGGACACAGCAAATCGAAAGAAGGGTTCTGCTGAGAAGGAAGAATGGGAAAATAAAGCCAAAACTCTCATCGAAGGGAAAGACGTAAGTGATCTTGCTCCAGTTGTAGATCCGTCTCTCATTGGCTTCTAGATTCCGATATCGACTTCAAACGTCCTTCTCTTATCAGATCTGTCTAATTTCCGAGAGGGATCAACACTCGTACGTGAGCAAGAAGGGCTGCGGTCTGACATCTTCCGGTCATTTACCTCGGCAAAGGACACCCACGGAGCTATCAGAGCTCTGCGGAAATATGGACCAGAAGAGCCTCAGCTATATGTGGACGCTCTGACATACTTCGCTTCAAGTCCGGCCATCCTTGAGGAAGCTGGCGATGAACTCGACGTGGTACTCAAAAGGATCCACGATGACGGATTGATGTCGCCATTACAAGTAATACAAGCATTGAGCAACAACTCTGTGGTTACCATGGGCCGAGTCAAGAAGTATCTCAGCGACAACATTGAGCGCGAGCGGAAAGAGATCTCCACTGTAGGTTGCGTTCTGTCGACCTTCTGCCTAGTTCGAGCTAACATATGCCCTAGAATCGCCGCCTGGTATCCAGCTACAGCTCGGAAACCGAGAAGAAAAGGCAAGAAATCGAGCAACTGGGTACTAAGCCCGTTGTTTTTCAGGCCCGTCGGTGCAACGCGTGCGGTGGAGCTCTGGACCTTCCTACTGTGCACTTCCTCTGCAAGCACTCATTTCATCAGCGCTGTCTCAATAAGGTGGATGAAGATGCAGAATGCCCGATGTGCGCGCAAGAAATCTCCACCATCAAGGCTATCAGGAGGAGACAAGTGGAGTCAGCAGATCAACATGATCTCTTCAAGGGGGAACTTCAACGAGCCAAGGATCGATTCGGCGTGGTGAGTGAGTTCTTCGGTCGGGGTGTGATGCGACCGCAGAGTACCATGGAATCTTGATCCTTTGTTTAGCTTATGATGATTTCGAAACCGATTCCCCGATTGCAGTGGATACCAATGCATGCTGTTTTGATGCCCTAATGCCTGCAGTAGAATTGCCCCATATCGATATCTTATCAACACGTGGTCGCGCGTCGTTCCGTTCCCCGATTCCGCCCACTTTGACGCGTGAGATAACGGACATAAACGTAGACTGATAAGCCGATTTTCCCCTCTTAAGGATTGTCTGATATCCTGTATCTCTACAAGAGGTATATACATTTCTTTCACAAAATGTCCTTTGATAGAGTAATTCAAGACTCTGACGATGAGGACGATCCTTTGTCGGAGATGCCGCCTCTAGTCAAGCGGGCCCCGGAGCAGCCAAAGGATCATGTTGATAATGCAACCACTTGCAACGAGCAATCTGGAATTGTAACACCAGGCGGAGAAGCGCAAGATATCGACCATGGAAATTATCTTGCTGTTGACTTTGACGCATTTCTACAGTCACAGGAAACGGCGCCAAATGGGTTCTCTGCCTCTCAGCAACGGAGGGAGGAGAAGTGGATTCCGTCAGACGCTGGGGCGGGGTCAATTGGTGAGTCTTGAACGTCAATTGCACAAGAATGCATGAGACTCCTCGTGAATACACTTGTTGCTAAGGGTCGTGGTCAATTAATCCAGGTTCAGTAATGACGGAAATTGGACTTGCGCAGCAACGGCTGTTCGACGACGATGATGCTCAACATGCAGTTTTCCGCGAGACTCAGACAGCTCTTTCTGGCAACCAGCCGGACAATGGCTCAGTGCTTGCCCAGTCGCTTGTTCCTCTGGACATGGTAGTGTCGAATTATGATGATTACAATCACCACGAGGAGAGTCCTGGTGCTCTACAGCCTCGCGCATTTGTTGCTCCCACATCGCAAGACATGGCTCTCCTCAATGGCAAAACCCATGGTCACGGTTACTCTAACAATGACATTACTGGGGTTTACGGAGATCATATACGACATGTCGGGCCGCAGAACGGTTCGTCGACTCATGACTTGGCGCAATCCTCAACGTCATACAATTTCTTTGAATCATCCCTGAATCCACCTGCGCAGCTGAATGACGATATTCAGAGCTACTCAAGATCCAGCGACACAGTGCAGACCGCGGCTGTTCATAAAACCCCAGGAAGATCACATTCCATGCAAGCTACATCTTACTCTCCCCATGACACCGAGCCAATCTCGTCATTAGTGACCCCGAAAGTCAGTAGAGTCCAAAGCGACAGCACTTGCCGATACGCTCCACCGTACTCGCCAGGAAGCGCATACGATGAGCTTGCTGCCCCCGTTACAATCGAGATACCGGCGGTTAAAAAGAAGCGCGGACGCAAAAGAATGCAAGACATACCAGAAGACGACGAAGATGATGAGCTTGCTCCCTCAAATGATCAAAGCATCCCCGAGAGTGCCGAGCCAGTCAAGAGAAAGCCGGGTCGGCCACCGAAGGTCGTACGGACGGTGAACGAATTCGATGACGCCGGGCTGGCCAACGATCAGCCACAAGACCGGCCTGTTCCTGGCTTGGAAGAGATTCAAGAGCTTGGTGATAATCCGCTACCTCTTAATGAAATTGCATCGAACCCAATAACCAATGGGGTATTGCATGCACCAGAAAAAAACGACTTGCGAGTCGAGAAGGAAAATCGGACAGAAGTCTCGAACGACCCGTCGGCAGACATGGATATTCAGCCGGCGAAGCCCTCGAAGAAGGCGAAAGAATCCAAGAAGAAGAAACTGAAGCGTGGAAAGACCACCTCGGTGACATTGAAGAAAACCCACGAATCAGATGTCGAAGATGACGTGATCTGGATTGATGAAAGACCCTCAAATCATATCCTACAAGACGGACAGACCGCTCAGAAACTCAGCAATGACCCAACATCTGTTGATTTAAAGAATACGGAATCGTTTCAAATCCATATACCAGGTCCTCTCCCTCCCTCTGCGTCTGAAGGGACCGAACCCAAAACTTCGCTCGAGGCATGGAAAGACGAACCAAAACCTGCACTTCCAACGCCCAAGAAGCGAGGACGCAAGAGGAAGAAGACATCCGAGCTGCAAACCAGCGAAGAGACTCCCTCCGAGAATGTCAATGGACTCACACGCAGCGGAGACGATAATCAGGAACCACCAACGCGGCAATCAGACATTCGCGTGTCCGTCATGTTGGAGAGGCCATCGAACCAAGACACCCATGAGCAGAAGACTGAAACCATGAATGATAACTCTACGTCGGGAGAGGAAGCAACTACACACCCGGAATCGATCTCGCCCTCCGATCCCTCACCAGCCACAGAGACAAACGCACCTGAAACCCCAAAGAAATCAGACTCATCATCTAACCAGGCAGACCTGAGTATATGTCCAAAGACAAAAGACCCCGGAAAAGGCCCTGACAGGCACAGCCCGATCGCAGGAACAAGCAAAGTTCCGTATCGAGTCGGACTGAGCCGCAAGGCCAGAATCGCGCCTCTGCTGAAGATCGTCCGACGATAACATCGATCATGCCTGCCACTCTGTTTTATGTGTTTTATGTCTAGACGGACTTTTCTTTGTTTTTTTCGGTTATCGTTGCTTCTACTGTATATCTATTATCGACCTCCTCCTAACGCTCGTCATGACCTCTGAATGACTTTCAGCCTGTATACCATACCTTGTATTTTTACGAATCCGTGATTCCTGCCCAGAGTGAAAGCGATGGCATGTTGTGCTATGGAGCATACTTCGATTTTTCTTTCTTTCTGAAGGACTGCCATTTCTCCCGTTGCAGATGTCTCTGCTATGATCAGCTTGAAGTTTTCCGATGGTAGACTTCGATCCAGAGAAATATAATTATAAGATGTGCACTCATTCAACTTGCATCTTGTGGAATGCCCAGCTTCTGAGATTTAGCGTACTCTTTACGATATGACCTGGTAGACAATCTCAGAGCAAGACGAGATCTGACTAATTCATTGAATTGTATATGGACCACCGCATGCTCCTGCCAAGGACATCACTTCATTGTTTAGGCCTCATCATCTCTGACGAGAATTAGAATATATATACTTGCGGCGATAAGGAAACAACTCATCTACAAAAGCCCAAGCTACTTCATCCGTACACCCACGAGATGGAACGCCGCACACTCACTAAATGAGATTCATCCAATATGTAACAGGCATCCTCTTAAGGCGATGGGGATGTCTTGCTCTTGTATACGTTCATCTTTATCTACTTCGGTATCGTAAGATTGCTCCGGCAAAAGGAGGAATTGGAATATCATGAATTCTTCTAGCATGGTTGCCTATAAGGCCGCTCAGGTGCGAAAGGAATAATACTTGATAAAGGCATCAAAGGTAACTCATTTCATCCATCGAACAGTCCGTGGCTCCGTGACAACTCTAAAGAGCGCCTAGCGTAATCTGCACGTGTCTCGAAGGTCTTCCTCACTATAAGAGGGTATCGGGAAAGACAGTAAGTTGATCGCAAGCACCAGTAACAAAAAACTCTTTTCAACTAGGCGATTGCTGTTGCGCAGATAAACAACATCAGGCAAGCCGCAGCCGAGAAGGCATGGACCGCTGGATTTGCCTCCGATTTCACAGGCTTCCTCACTGATCCACCTCCAGGAAGACCGTCGCCATTGGGATGATCGTTAGGACCCGAACCCGGCCGAGGCGTTGGTTTTCTTATAGGGCTATCGGTGTCATTGTGCGATGGCTCGTCCAAGGAGAAGCAATTTCCAGCTTCGGGCTGGCAACCAAATCCGCAGTGAAGATTAGAGGTACCACAGTAGTCGGAACTACTACAGCAAGGGCCAAAGCTTGATCCAGCGCACGTATAGTCCTTTCCACATTTGCCATCAGGGGAGATGGGCTTGGAGCCCGCTGGAGGAACGTCATGAGCCTCTGGTGACGAAGACTTTCTGACAGCGGTACTGCTAACAAGAGGCTCGCCGGCTTCGCGATACCAGAATTCTTGAGGATCCTCCAAGCATTCACCGACAGTCACAGCTTTGTAACCATATTCCGCCATTCTCCTTAGCATGTGCTCTGTGAGGTTGTGGACAGTTTGCTCGTGCACATCGTGAGCAATAACGAGCCAGGATTTCTCTGAAGCTTTCCACGGCGCCAAGGCAGCATCGAACGTATCCTTGGAGACTTGAATGGCGCTAGGACTATCATGACTATAGTCCTTCGTGTCGATGTCATAAAGAATGATGTGATATCCCATCGTACCCATTTCGTCCAAGCAGCCCGTTTCGGGGAGGCAGCTCGAGTATGGAGGACGCATATAGGTCGGAATTCTGCCCAAAACGTTGCGGAGCGCAGCTTCATTCTTTAGCATTTGCTGCCATCGTTGGTCTGGCGTGACTTTGCTGAGATCTTGGTGCGACCAGGTGTGACTCGCAATCTGGTGTCCAGTGTGTTGCATGCGTTGAATCAAAGAGGCCCATGGTAGATCAGGATGATCTATCGGGCCCTTGGAATTATTGATTCCAGAGATAAAGAACGTCGCCTTGGCATCATACCGATCCAACAGGTCGAGAAGGTCAGCAGTGTATCTGTTCGGACCGTCATCATAGGTCAGGGCAATAGTGCTTGATCTGGTACACGAGCGGATGACGTGCGGGCCATATGGTACGGCACCGACATGTGGTCGAGGAATATCTTCGACGGGAGGGCCCTCTGGGTTTTCATGAGCGTCGCAATGACCGAAGTCAAGCTGGCAGTCTGGAGAGCGACAATGAGCCTGGGTAGTACCACAATAGCCTGGAAACAACGGTTAGTTTGAGCACACGTTGGATGAGAAGTCAAAAGAACGTACCAGCAGTTGAACAGCATTTGCCATCCGAGCAAGTTCCCACCCCTGGACCACATCGCACACCATCACCGTTTCTTATCAACAGGTGTGGAGTGACATTGACGTCGGACAATGGCCCCGACTGGGAGGTGTGGTGACCAGGCTGCAATTTGACGATATTGCGAGCAACTGTCTGTGCCTCGAGCCCGAGGATGGGTAAGAGCAGCAACTGATGCATATGCATCTTGGAGATGTATTCGAAGAAGGATGCTAGACCTAATATGCAGGATAAGATGGAGGTGCAGTTATGTATGATTGGGAAGATGGGGTGAGGAAGACAACAGAATGCTGAGTCGAGGATTTGAAGAGACGGGCGGTATGTTGCTTTCCTTCCAGTGAGGGCAGCTCACAGAGAACAGAAATGGCAGGAAGGAAGAAAACGACGGATAGAGGTTCGGAAAGAGCATAAGGAGGAAAGAACAGACGGCATTATTACATGCTCATGTGGACGGATCCACAGTACCATGGGAGTTGTAATGACGATTGAACGAGGTAGGACGCTGTCGCACAGCTGCGAATACAGGTTGACAGGACTGTGCCATGAATTTCAGCTCGAGGATCTTGTGGACGCCTTGGAATCTCTCTTATCAGAGCAGCAGATTCTAACGTCACACTCCTCGAAAGCATCAGCGACAACTAGTCCATAGGCGCAAAGCAGTATCTGCCTAGATTATCATTGAGAGATGCCATGATGAGAAAAGCTCATGGGGAACATACGATATACAGCATTGAGAAAGGCTAAGGTTACCATGAACAGGGTATCTAATTTGAGATTCTGATGCTGCTACTGCACTGGTCGGAGCATTTTCGTAGACACGCCACTCAATGGGTATACTCAAGCTACCTGACCAAGACTCTCCTCTCCCACGGCCGAGAACACAAAAGGCGCTAATGTCTGAAGATGGGGCCCGAACTTGGTCGGAGCACTTTTGGCTATGCTGCCCACCGTAGCGATCAGATGTCGCTGGTGAACGGTCGTCAACTGTGCGGAATTGAATTTCTCGACGAGTTCAGCCACAAAGGCGTTCAGTTGGTTGTCCGAGAAGTGGAGCACAAGGACTGAGATAGCGGCCAATGCTCTTTTGGTGACAGCGGTACCAGCCGTGTCGTTGTCAATGATGGACATGACAGACTTCTGCAGTGCGGTCAACTCCTCCTCCTTGAGAAGAGGTCCAAAGCATGTGACCACTTGGATCAGGACATCAACAGCGTCGCTACTGAAGCCTTTAGCAGGATCCTTTTCCAACATTCCCTTTACGACACTACCCCGTCGGTTGGAAGGCGACGGCGTGGGCCCGATTAAGCGGGGAATGAGAACCCTCGAGACAGCGGAGTATGCCATGGTGGCTTCTTTGCTGGGTGCTTGCCCTGGTTGAGGACGAGGAAGTGCTGCGACAATGACTCGGAGGGCGGTGTTGGGAACTGAGGTATCGATGGATTGTGACGCGGTTAAGGTCGATAGCTTCTCGAGAAGTGGCATGAGGCTTTCAAAGGGCAGCCGAAGCGCAAGCGGACCGAGACTGGAGTAGAATATGAGTGAGTGATGTATGCGACAAAGATGGTACTCCTAATACGAACCATTTCAGCGCTTGATTCTGAACATCGCCATGTTGGTCATCTAGAGCCTTGAGCAATCCGTCGACGAGTCTCGAAGCCGAGTGCTGATCATGGGAAAGAAATGAAGAGTTGGGATTATTCAGGATGCCTAGTAAATCGTTCAAGGACATGTATCTCAGATCTGCATCTGGATCGTCGAGCTTCAACAACAGACTGTTGAGATTCTGCTGAATGGCCTGTCTGTCCGCCATGGGGGAAGTGAAGTCCGAAAAAGCGTATTGTGACAGGAAAGAATGAAAGGTAAACTAAGATAGGGAGACTCGTAGATCACAGTTTTGAGAGCTGTGGGTAAGGCTCATGCTCACTGGAAGCAGGGAGATGAACTAAACGCGGGGCGCATAATACTGCCTAAGGCTACAATAATCGCTGGATCCAGACTTTGAGCTCCAACGGAGGACTACACAGACCACTTGTGCAGGTTTCCATCAAATCGATTGAGGATGGAATATAGGAGGACAAGATCTCCGTTCGTCAGTTGATCAATGAACTACTAGACATCTATTATGATATTTATTCAATTGCATTTTAGTTGCAGTTACATAGCATACCATGACTATGCCGAACTCGGCCATAACAGTTACTTTCTCCCCGCACGCCAAAATTACATCATCACCAGTAGATAACGCTTGGGCCATGCCGGTTGCTCCCGCTCCGAGCTTCTTGGTCGTGCTCCCATTCCTTGCTTGGAGGCTGGGGCTGCCGGCCCATGGCCTGCATACGTAAGAACAGGGGCATGTCATGTCACCTCTTCCTACCTTTCTCCTTAACTTGTCATCTTATCCCAATTGCACCACAGATCTTCAACCAGCATCTCTAATCTCCAATTCTTGACCTCATCTTCGATCTATACCCGTACAACCACCATGGTTCTCGTACGCCCTCAGATGATTCGTGCTTCTCTCGGTGCCGTCAGAGCCACTGCTCGACGACCCATACAGCAGGTCGGACGCCGGACGTACGCGTCTGCACAAGAAAGCACCAAGAAATCCAGTGACCTCCCATGGTAAGCTACCTTCCTGCCTTATGCCCATGAGCCATCGCATTCCGTGTGCCAGGGCGACTAACGACTCGGTTTCCAGGATGCTGGCATCGGTTGGCCTCGGCGTCCCCGCTGCATTCTACTTGCTTCAGCCCAGTCCCTCCAAGATCGCCTCACACAACCACCATGGCGAAACAAGAATGACTGAGAGGAAGGAAGCCGAGATTCCACCGGAGCGTGAGACTGTTGGCCCGGATGTGAAGCCTTCTGAGGTCGATGCGGTAAGTAATTCACTATTCGGCTTGCACCCATTCACCACGTCAAACATATGCTGAAGATTCCGCAGCCTGCCGGTAGCAAGGCTCCTTCAGGAGCCAACACCATTTCTGCCAAGCAGGAGGGCCTTGACAGTTCGGACACTTCCAACCCTTACGTTACAGAACAGGGAAAGAGCGTAAAGGGTGAGGGCGAGACGGATTCTGTCAAGCTGAAGGGAACTGTTGACCCTACTCGGCCACAGCGGTGATTGCACTCTGCTTTTGATGGGAAGAAACTCAGTATGCGAAAATGTCCGCAGTCGGCTGGGTCCGATATCGATATCTCTGTATGTTTAAGAGACTCAACGTGTAATATATTACATAGCACAATAGTTTCACATAACGACGATCTCCGCCGCCGTAAGTGTCTCAAACAAGCCAAGGTCCTTGAGCAGTTTCAGAACGGCTACTATGGAGGGACAGTGAACTCGGCCATTGCAAAATCACCAGCGCAGATCTATTATTATGATTATCATTAGCTTTGCAGAATGTGGTCTTCACAGTCATCCCCTAAAAAGTACAATGAACTGCTCACTCAAGAAAAATCGTCACTATATCCATTCAGCTTCGCCATGCACAACGTCAATCACAAGAAAGGGGTTGAAAAAGTATCTTTGCAGAAAGAGAAAATTGAAATTTGTCATTCACCATGAAACCGTCGCAATATAACAGAGAATAAAAAGACTTGTCAAGCATCGCCAGACAAGTCAAATTCATGATATAGACAAAGCTCAGCGAGCTATTCATGCCCAAAGTGACAGTAAGGAAATACTCGGTTGGCTCGCAGCATCAAGCACTAAGAGTTGGCTTTTGCGCCAAGAGGCTCGCCGTTGACAAAGACCTGAGGGGCCTTGTTGGTATTGCGAGCGGCCAGAAGAGGTTGCTCCGCTCCAGTGGCAAGGGTAGCATGGCTCGCTGCCTCCTGTTCAAGTTCCTCTTCGGTCTCATCATCGCTTCTCTCGTCCTTCTTCACGCTGTTGAAGATGTAGTTCTTGAGAATGCGAAGGATCAAGAAGAGCCAGAAGAGATTGACAGCTTGCAGACTGGCCAGCAGGACGAAGGTGATGACCTGACTAATCCAGCACTTGTATTGTTGGGTCTCCCAGTTGAGCTCGTAGGGTCCGACAGTGCGGAATTCGGTCAGCACGGCCCAGAGAATCTTCAGATTGAGGACATGGCGGAGGTAGATCCACATAACGACGAAGGTGCCAAAGTATGGTATAGTGATGATGGAGTCGAGGTAGTTGAGGGTTTTTGAGGTCTACAAGAAGAATCAGTTACCTCTCGTTCAATTAAGGAGGACCCTTGCAGGCATACCGCTAGGAAGAAATCTGAGATGTCATGGGTGATATAGACCGCAATGCCCATATAGGTGAAGTGGAAGCGGTAACTCAACCCGATCAGCGCCAAAGTGATGATGTGATGACCGACAAGCTCCTTGAAATCCTTTCGGGGCTTTTCGAGCTGCAGCAGCAACACAATCGCTTGCTGAGCCCAGTAACTAGCCTGAAGCAGGTAATAGGCCTTGAAGATGGCGACGTGCTCCCGGTGAGGGAAACCCTCAAACATGGCGGTGGTGTTGAAGTACCAGATATCCGTCTGTTTCATCACGTACAAACCGAAAGGTCCAAAGATCGCAAAGTACATGGCTGTGTAGACCTGCTCCATGAATCTAGCAGTCTTTCCTCTGCCGCGAATGCCACAGTATCCAGCCCATGGGCGAATCACGCATTGCATCAAAAACTCCCGTGTGAAAGACAGGACAATAGTGTAGAAGCCGACAAAAGCAAAGTCCAAGGGGCCTTTTCCGTACATAACCGGGCCGCCAGGGGTCTTGGGAGGTTGTGGGTAAGACAAGAAGATAGCGCTGTGGAAAGGATTGGCCGGCGTGGGATTAACGGCGTATGCGAGGAGGATTATGCTCATCAGTAGGAGAGGTAGAACCCAGGTGCGTTTCACACATAAGTCCTTGAACCGACGGAGGGGCGATCGGTTCTTGCGCCGCTTGGTCTGCGATTTGAGAGCCTTTTCAGAGGCTACCTGGTTCTGCAAGGCCTGACAGCAGTGAGCACGGGACTGAGGAGACGGAAGATATTGAGGTCACCGATAAGGATATACCTTGTCCCATTTTGGAGCTTCTCCCTCCACAGGGCTGACCTCGTTCATGGTCGACATGGCGGGCGCGGTGGTATCACCCGGGATATCTCCCAGATGGCTGGACTTGCGCGGACGACCCATGATGGGCTTGCTGATATTGGACTGTTTCGATGATGTATCGATTGCTCAGGTGCACAAATAACTAATTCTCGTATTTTTGCTGCGCTGAGCGGGCTGGCTTCTGAAGGAGAAAAGCAACAGATAGCGGAGCTGAATAGGTGACCCTGGAGCCACCAATTGGGACAATGAAGGTTAAAATAAAGAGAGGCGGGAAGAAAAATTGTTGCGATGAAACTGAGATTATATTGATGTCAAAGGGGGCTTTTTCCCATTTCCAATTTTCTCCGCCGACTCCACCGCACCAGCCACTAGGTACCCCGTCCAATTTGAACCACCACCAATCGCAAGCCCTTCTTGTGCGGTTGTACCTATGTTCTTCCGATTTGACTTCCGTTCAATAATTGCTCTAGCTGATTGCTCTAGCCCTTTTCTATTGGATTCGAGTCTCGAGAAGCTCGATTGTATGCTTTCGCCCCCGCGAGTGGACGATCGATCAGATACGGAGTACTCCGCGCGTTTCAATAACATTATTATTATGGGCAAGCCCAACATTATACATGCAGATAAGCCACAACCTGAGCTACTCATAATTGACAACAATAAAGAATAGGATGAAAATTGACTTTAATCAAGGTAGTGGCGTCGCCTATGACTTCCTCCATAGAGTGCAATACTCCGTAGTTGCATGCATGCTAGGTTGGTAAGAGAGATTGATTACATGAAAGGAGAATGCACTATAACGTCTGCAAAAAGCATCTGCGCCAAGCAAAGCCTTTTCTTGTACATCTTGATTCCAAGAGACCTGTATTCTCATATCATAGAATGCTGGTCAAAATGGGAGGTTGGGCAGTTAGGGAATGGAAGGATCCACGTAAGGTCACGTGTGGTCGCGACGCGTGCTGCATTGTTATTTGGTCAGCGCTCCTCTTGATGTTCTTTCTCCCTACACCCATTGCAGCTGCTTCCTCGGTCAGTCACAAACGACTTCGCGGACAATTCAGTCGTTCTTCAATTTCCTAGCGTCTTCAGCCAATACTGAACTTGATCCTAACGAGCTCTCTTTCGGACCCGACTCGCTCGAAGACATGTCGGCGTGTGTCTCATAAGCATCTCTGGGTCGCTAAGCCGTGCCTCAATTGCCTGCGAGGGCTTTTTTGTACAGACCTTACTCTCCGTATAGTTCTCCAATTTCCATCACTGCATCTCGATGCGTCTTTAGGAGACCTATAATCATACGTTGCTCGGCCCAGCCTATGATTATACCTTTTAAAGAAGGTGATGGATTATTGGGAATCTAACCCTAACCTAGTCGGTTCAGTGCTAGCAGCAGCACAAGTTTCACGGCCTCGCATGGCGGAGTTATTGATTAGTTTATCGATTCCTCCAGGAATCGATAAACGAAAGGTATCCGATGTCCAGAGCCTGTCATGGGCAACAAAAGACGGTTTACTATGCGTTTTAAGTTCCTGACTGGGACACGCGTCGGTTTACCAATGCTGGGCGTTACATGCTGACCAAGATGGATGGTTTGTCGATGCCTTAGTGCTGGGGATCTAGGGAGAGAGTAGGTGGAGCATGTCGGGCCTCTCGTTGCAGATTACGGCCTTTGGGAGCTTTTATGAACGGCAATGCATGGGATGTCTGGAGCCACCCTCAAATTGCGGCGGAATTCATTACTATTGCTCGGTGATCATCTTGAACGCAACAATTAGTCCTCGGACGCGCCTACAAACACTCATGAAGTCAGTACGTCGGAAGCAATCCACTCGTCGGAATCATTGTGATGTCTTGATGGCGCCCAGGTGCTACCTGAGAAATCACATTGTAGCGAGGTTCTTCCGCACTACTGGATGGACTGAGCTGATCAGGATTGTTCTTTGAGTGATGCTGTCAGAAACCTTGGCTTGTTGTCTAGTTCCGGCGCATGATTTACCATCAATGAGTAATGGTCTCGCCTTGCAATGGTCGCCTACCTATTCCTTACGCTATCCGTTCTGCTATCCCGTGCATGCTCCCAATTCGGGGAGCCTGGGCAACCCGTACCTACTTTCGAACTCTTGTCTCTTGCCATATATTGGCTTGTAAACCTCGAGTCCCGGCACCAGCCACCGACTCGAACTTGACTCAAAGATCCAGGTCGACCGTGTTAACCATCTCTTTGCAATGTAGATTGCAAATAGATTGATGGGCGCCGACAATGACGATGGGCCTCCCTTCGTCGTCCCTCCTTTCGGGGAGAAGGAAGCGGTTTTTGCGGATGTTCTTTGTTCGCTTCTACAACGCCCTCCAATGTCTGTTCGACGCGGAGAGGAAACAAAAACTTGTCTCAGAGAGTACTGTACCCCGCACGAGGTTTAGGTCTCAGCGACCGAAGGTTGTCCTTACGACCACACGGATGGCATGTTCGAGAGAAAATTGGGAGATGGAAAGCGTTGATTATGGTCAGGCCAAGCAACGCGGGAAAACATGGGGTCGGATGAACTTCGCGAAGGGTGTGAGACTGTCCGATGTCGCACGCTGCGTTCATTGAGCTTCGACTTTGTACTGCTGTTCAACACTCTATGCTCTAACATCTTGCAACCTTGGTGACTTGCCATTGCCATTCTATGTCTTGGAAGCCGACAATCGCCTCGATTGAAGCTCACCAACGCTCTCCTCTCGTTTGTGTGTTCTTGCTTCGTCCATGATGCGACCCGGCTGCCCGTTCAACATATCTCTGGCATACAATGCAGTTGTTGACAGGAGGCGTTTGTGGGACCTCACAAGGGTGGGGATCAAAGCTCAGGCTTGTCTACTTGGCCTCTATACTGTTTACATTTGCTTCTGCGGAGACTTTGGCGACTGGGTAGCTGGTCCTGGGCGTGTAGGACATCAACGAAGAGAACGTTTATGTGCTTTGATCGGTAAAGGGCATTTGTGCGTGGGCACCAGGATCGGGCTATTGCGCGAGAAGCTTGTTGCGAGTTCTTGATCAAAAGGTGCCGAACATCTC